TTTATTTTGAATTGTTATTCCTCTTTTTTCTATGCTAGATTCTGGAAATGAATACAGATACACTATTATTTCAGTAACTTTTCACATATACTTTTATTCATCTAAAAAATCATTTACCACAATGTCCTATACTTCCTATGTCCTATGTTTCTGATTTTATAATGAATGTTTGCAATTCTTCTTGTTAGACTATATGATCAAGGAGGAATATTTTTCTCTCTCTGGTATCTCAGTAACAATCAAAATGCCAATAATTATAATTACTGCTTAATAAATATGTGTGGATTAAATAGATAAAGGATTGCATTAAATACCCACAAACAAATTGTGTGTCTTTTTGTAGAAAATTCTACTTTACTATGGTACCAAAGACAGTTCTGTCTGTTTCTAAAACTTAAGATAGTTCTAAGCATTATCTAAGGAAATATTTTATTGAAGCATCTTACTGCAACAAATCATGAATAATGTTACCAATATTAGCAATAATATTTATCAATTAGGAACAAACTCTGCATGAGACATTATGCATTCTTATTCCCTCTACAACCCCAGGTCGCAAGTTCTACTTAAGTCATCATATCCAGGTTACATATGAGACATTCAGACAGAGATAGGCAAACTGCACAAGATCGCATGACTAGTGGCTGGTAGGAGGGAGATACAATCCCTGATATCGTACCTGTGAATCTTGTACTCTTAATTGCTTTCCTAGGCTGCCCAACATGATTTTCCCTAGGAGCTCAAAATGTTTAATGAACAGTTGTCTTTATCCCAGAAAAGAGTGAAAAAACCATCCATTAACTCATTCCAACAACTGTTTACTGACCGCGTGTTAAAAGTACATGCTGTGCTACACTGGGATATAGTACAAGCAAGAACAGATGGGCCCTGCCTCTTGAAACTGACTGTTCAGGACCAGAGCCGGTGTAGCATGGAGACTAACATTGTGGGCTCTAGAAAAGCCAGCTCGAGCCCACCGCTTAGTTCTGTGACCTTGGGCTAGTAGCTTAACTTCTCTTCTCCTGTTTCCTCATCTGTTAAAATTACATGAGATTAAATGAAGTCATACATATAAAATGCTTAGTACAGAGAATTTCACATAGCAAACACTGACTTGGTTGGGAGGGTCAGACTTGCAACAAATAATTGTGCTAAACAATATAAGCACTCCAGAAAAAAGGAGTAAAGTCTTATGTGAGCATGGGCCAAATAACCTATCCTGGGCTTGGGATAAATGTGGCAAGACACAACACTTATGGAGTGAAGAATCAGTTCAGAAAAGTCAACCTACACCTGCTGGGAGATAAAATGTGGTACCCTGACTATGACTATAAAAAAGAGAACAAGACTTTGTATCAGACAAGAGTAAGTTTTCTAGGAATCCTTGAACAATGGATTATCCTAGACCAACCTATTTCAGAAGGTATTCAATCAAGATTTGACCTCTCCCTTGAGCCCACACCAATATGAAACTTTGAGGTCAAGACAAAAATGGAGAGATAAATGCAAGTAACATCCCATTCTAAAACTCTCTAGATAATAGACCATCCATACTTGCTTATAGCTCTACCAATTTATTTTCCTGTCTCTTTCAGTTTTGAAATCTATTATTTATACCAGAAATGAGAGAACAAAAAGATACAGTATAAAAACAAAAGAGCAAACAAAGCCAAAGCTAGTGACAAATCACTTTCATTCTTTGCTTGCATTTAAAGAAATTAAGATCTGTTGATTATGTGCTCTGTCCTGAGAACAGTATCCTTATGAGTTCAATTGACATCAGTAAACATACTGATGCTCATACTTATTTCATAAAGAAAAATGTTATTAATAAATTATTATAATCTGTTATGGAGTAAACTAGAAACTAGTTATGTAGAAACTCATTATATAGTCAAAGAATACCAATTTACTCATAACCTGGCTATTTCCAGATTATTATAAGAATTGTCAAATTTACACAGAGTAATTGGGACATATTTCAAGCCATTTTACTTTTCTCTATGCTTTTAGAAATTGTTAACAGACCTAGATGTAAGTCAGAAATGCCTTTTGTAAACACTCAAATTTAGGTACATGGACAATATTCAGAATATTTAATAATCAGTACTGTAATATAAATGTGAATCAATGTATAAATAACATCTTTTGTTATTGAAATCATTTAAACCATATATTTAAAAAGTGTTTAACATGTGACATAAGTTGACACAAATCAATTTATTATAATAATTTCCAATCATCTATTGAGACATAGAAGTTGTGGTGTGACCCTTTGGTGTGATCCAGCTATCACTGTACCATAGTAGGATAATGATTGATCCCTTCAAAGACTTCATTACGTGACAACCATTAGTGACTGAGTTTTTGCTGGCAGTCTATGGACATTGAAGTCACTGCCCTCCATGCTTTCACTCCTCTCTTCATATCCTTTTTCCTCCACCAACAGTCGGGATCTTCTAATCTGGGTACTGGTTGTATGCCTGTAGTGAGGGTGAACAGCACATAGACCAGGTGAGGAAGTCAGGAGAGAACTAGAGGGAGGCATGTGGGCATATACTGAGCCAGTTGTCACCTCATTCAAGAACTTTTCAACTGAGAAGCAACTCTGTACATCTGAAATAATTAAAATATCTGCAGCACTCCCCCCCAACACACATACACTCCAAAATCTATGCTCCAATTTCCAAACTAGACTTGTAGAACAGGTTCTGTGTGTTAGATAGGTCATACATACTAGAACGAATATTATTAAATAATTTTAACAGTTATTACAGTTACTATTATATACTATTTACCAACCATGGAACACATATTATAGTTCAATCTTTTAATACTCATTGCACCTGTAACTTTCCAAACTGACTCTTAAAGAGGCCTCGTATTAATTACATTTTGTTTGGCCTGTGCTCATGGCTCCGTATTTGTTTCAGTCTTGGATTAATGCTAAAGTGGTTGTTAAAAGCCATCACCCTGCTAGTAGTTTGCCCCATTACTGTCACATACTTCTGTAATTTAAGACCGTGCTACCAAAGACGTTTGATATTTCCTGCCTTGCATTTGCTTTGTCAGCAGAGTACTTGATCGGATTAAGTACAGTTCTGCCCTTGTTGAGTTTTTTCTCAAATAATTGAGAACATGTGTGTCTAAGAGGTGATTAGAATTGACTTAATTCTCCAGAAACATTTTAATTTAATTGATTTTAAGACCCCTGTTTAAGAGGACACATTACGTTCTTTTTCCTAATTGCTATTATGGAGATTCAGTTTCCTTTTGGAATATATAGATGGATTTTCATTGTTCCTCCATTGTTATCTGTATATCATTTGCACCATCAAATGCAGAAGGATTGCAACTCTGTTTTGGGATTTGTAAAAGTTAAAATACTAATCATGGCTTATAATTGTGTTATGAGACATGAGAAAAAAACAAAAAGGTATAGAATTTCAAAATATTAATTCTAATTTAATCTAATAGGTTAAATAAATTTGATTGAGAATAACTAAATACATAGATTCATAAATTAAATGTGTAAAAAGACAAAATAATTATTTTTGCACAAAAGGTAGGGTTTAAATATCAGGCCTAGAAGTTGCTGGTGCTTATAGACTATTTGAAATTTGTGAGAAGTTTTAACAATATGAAAACATTAAATAAAATATGTGTACATGTCTATGCTTTAAACTTTAAAGTTAAACTGCTTTAACTCTATAAACGTAAGTCATATTCTGAGATTTACTGATGGAAAATTTGTTAATCCTAGTAAAAATGCTTTTTAAAAATCTCTTAACTATGTTAACCAGTGAGAGAGATGAAGCTGGGGAATTAATCAATGAGCAGATCTCAGAGGGCCTGTCCAACAAATGACATCTTGATTTTATCCTGAGGAAATTGTGGGGTCATTAGTGGTTTTTAACTCTCAAATCACTCACATCTCTGCCAAATGTCACTTCCTCAGAGAAATCTTTCCTGACCACCTGATCTAAACTGAAAGATTCTGAAATTCTCCACCTTCTTGTCCTCCTTTATTATCCTTTGTAGCACTGGCATTGCCCATCATTATTTTATTTATCTATATTTTATCTCTATTTGCTAATGTCTAACTTTCTCACTTTCTCATTAGAATTTAAGCTCCATATGAGCAAAAACCTTATTTTCTTATTTTTGTTGTTTTTCTTATTTACTGCTACATCTCCATGGCCTACAATAGTGCCTGGAAAATCAGCATTTTTGAATGAATGAAAACTAGTGTAATGAACACATGAAAACACACGGACAGCTTCACCTAACCAGAAAGTCGGTAAAACCTGAAAAGATGAATAGTTATAAAGTAGCCTAAGATACAAATGGCGTAGATATATTCTCTAATATAAACACTGTATGGGTGCTGATAAAGACGTTTGCCTTTTTCATGGGACTTATTAACTCCTAACGTCTGGTGGCTGCTTGCAATCCTTGGCATTCCTTGGCTTGTAGCTCAATTTTTCCCTCAGCCTTCACATGATTATCTTTCCTCTGTATGTCTGTGTCTCTAAAACTCCCCCTCCTTCTAGGGATAACAGTCATTGGATTTATGGCCCACCCTTTTGGTTTTGGTTACAGAATACCAGACTAAGCTGGGCTTAAATAATGAAAGCCATATTTATTTCTATAAAAATGTTTCCCATGGTAGTCATGGGACTTATTAACTACATGGAAATCTAATTTATTTAGTGATCTAATTTGTAGGCCCACATCAAGTTGGAGAAGCAGAATATTTCAGAAACAGAAAGGTGGTCCAATTTGCAGCCAGAGCAATCTTTTTGAAACTCAAATATTACCAAATTATTACTCCCTGTACTGGGTTCAATAGTGTCTCTTCAAACTTCACGTCCACCCAGAATCTATGAATGTGACCTTATTTGGAATTAGGGTGTTTGCAGACATCATAAAGTTAAGACAAGGTCATAATGTACTAGGGTGGGCCATAAATCCAATGACTGTTATCCCTAGAAGGAGGGGGAGTTTTAGAGACACAGACATACAGAGGAAAGATAATCATGTGAAGGCTGAGGGAAAAATTGAGCTACAAGCCAAGGAATGCCAAGGATTGCAAGCAGCCACCAGACGTTAGGAGGATGTAAGGAAAGGTATTTTCCTAGAGTCTCCAGAGGGAGTATGGTCCTGATGATAACTTGATTTCAGATTTCTAATCTCCAGAACTGTGAGAGTATGTTACTCTTGTTTTACGGCACCTAATTCATGGCAATTTGTTATAGCAGCTTAGGAAGCTAATATATTCCCTTGTTTAAAATGTTTCAGAAGCATACAATTATATTAGCAACAGTACTAATAGTGTAACAGATCACACGTCCTCATGAAATGTCCGCTGAACGTGAAATAATCTCAATCTCAATAAAAGTAAAGGACTTGGCTGGATATATTGAGATATGTCTCAAGTCAAAAGGAGAGATCCTGGGGTCTTGGGAAGAGAAGATTCAAATTGCCCTCACTGTCTGTGTTTGTGAGGTCTATCAGTTAGGAGGCTTTTGGTTTTGGTTACAGAATACCAGACTAAGCTGGGCTTAAATAATGAAAGCCATATTTATTTCTATAAAAATGTTTCCCATGGTAGAGTATTTCCAGGGTTAGTTGTTTTAGTGGCTCAGTGGTATCAGAGACCTCCTCAAATTCTGTAAGATTTCATTGGCTCTTATCCTGATGGTTGCAAGATGGACATGGTAGTTGTATATATCACGTCTTCCCTCTAGACGTGTAGAAAGTGGATTCTAGGCTTGTGTGTGTGTGTCTTTTAAGTTGAGGAGAAACATCCTATAATCCGTCCAAAATAATTTCTCACTCAGATCTCTTTGGGCAGCATTTTGTCACATCTATGCCTTACCAATTATTGGCAATGAGAATGAGATTACCAGGTTTGGCTTCTACCCATCAAGATTCACTGTATGGGGCTAGGCAGGAGCTCAGCCTCTTCTGAAGGACAGTTTCACCAGAGTGACGGTAAACAGATTGGGTTCTGTTTCTTACAAGAAAGATTCGGGGTGTGGCTGTTAAGTAGCAAACAATTGTGTCTATCAGAGAGTTTAAACGTGGAAGGCACAAAGACTGTGGCAAGATGAGTATCTTTTGTTTTTTTTTTAAAGATTTTATTTTTTCCTTTTTCTCCCCATAAGCCCCCCAGTACATAGTTGTATATTCTTTGTTGTGTGTCCTTATAGTTGTGGCATGTGGGACGCTGCCTCAGCATGGTTTAATGAGCAGTGCCGTGTCCGTGCCCAGGATTCGAACCAACGAAACACTGGGCCGCCTGCAGCGGAGCGCGCGAACTTAACCACTCGGCCACAGGGCCAGCCCCAAGATGAGTATCTTGATAATGTGATTATGAACATCTTTCTCAATGTCTTCATAATTCTTATTATAGTGATAAAACTCCTCCTAGAGAGGTAATTAACATTTCTGACTTCTGAAATACAGAGACTCTCTCTTCAAGATCCTTTGTACGGTAGTGAAAAGTGAAAAACATAGGCATAACATACTCGTCGTTACTTAAGTAAGTTTGCTGGGTAATGCGGGATTTTTGGTTTTTTTTAAATTTCATTCCAGAAAGATGGCCAACAAATAATAGGTATTCATTCCAATATCAACCCATTTTTCATTTTCTCAAAGGCCTATGATTAAAATATTAAGAGATTATTTTACCCAATGTAGAAGATTACGTCTTAGCTCTAACAGTAATTTCTTTAATTATTTTAATCTTATGACTATTAGTAGGATTAGAGGGCTGCTTAAAGTGATTGGAAAACATTAGATTATAAATTCACTAAGATGATAAACATTAAAATAAAAACATGTGCTTAAAACTGTGCATATGTGGCTATAACAGTTTCATGTCCGAACCATTGTGCTGGGAGTTATCAATGGGATGGTAAGATCTCTGCTTCCTAAGGTAGCTGAGTCAGGGGATGTTGTAAAGTGTTTCCCAAATCCTTGGGATTCCTTCGAGTTCTCTAAAACTGTCCTTGGGGGGTAAAATTAGGGAATCAATAAAGTGGGGCTCTAAGAGTCCCTCCAACTCCGTTTCACTGAGGCAAATCAGAATACTGGGTAAGAGTTAAGGCAGAAAGAATGAAGAAAGGAGGAAGGTTGGGTGGAAGGAAGGAAGAGGAGGAGGAAATTTTTTTCCTTTTTTTAAGAACAAGGACTTTTGGCTCTTGATCCACCCTTTTATGACAAATAGTTAACTATTGGTCAGCCAGGTATATATATATTTTATCTAGGGAGTTTTTTGTAAGTCAGTTTCCCTGAAATAGAGATTTGCCTGCAGAAGTTTTCCTGGGAAGTGCTCTTCGGAATAACACTTTAAAGAAGTGAGAGAAGCAGAATTGGGCAGAGGGAAATGTTGAAGGGCCATACACTCGCAACAAAGGCCACAGCAGGTGCCTGAGGAAGCTCTGGAGCTGGAATTGTGCTTCCGAAGTGTCTTATTGAGGCAAAGGGCTGGGCTTTTGTTCCATCTCTCCTTGTCCTTGGATGCAGGCCGCTCCTGGGCAGGTGGTCTAAGCTTGGGTGAGGCAGCTCTTTAAGCTGAGAGAAAGCCTTTGGCCCGCAATACTCCAGGCAGCTGGGGGAAAGAATGTCTTTTTCCTGAAGTTGGAATCTTGAGGGTGCATCACAGCATTCACTGCAAGATTTATTAGACTTTCTTGAAGATGTGCTCAGAAAACAGAACGTGCTACCCCCCTACTCCACATCCCCACATGCATATTTGCACAGAGTTAGACTCTTTCTTATCTTTGTGTTTCTCCCTAGGAGCAATAACTAGGAAACTCAAGCTTACTACCTGGAATGGAGTAGACTGGTTATTACAGAGACATGGCGGGGAGGAATAATTTTCAGCTTTGAATTTTCAAATTGACTTTGGGGAAAATAGTCCTGAGAAACAAATGTGTTTGGCTTTCCAAGATCCAGAATTTTTTTTTTTTTTTTTTTGCAGAAGAAAGCCCCTGAAAGTCTCTAATTAGTGTCTTAAAGAAAAGACAGCTTTTGCCACTTGCCCAGACCTGAGGACAATACCATTGGTTTAGGATAAGAAGAAAGGTTTAAAGGGAAATCCATAGCTCAAAGGCTGAGGGCTGCTGCGGATATGTATTCCACTTCTGTCACTCTAGCTGAGCACTATGCAGTGGCACAGGGATGGAGACAGAGCCTTCTGATGGGTTGGGGTTCTAGAACAGAAAGAAGCTATGCACTACTTCCTTCTCTTCCCTTCCCTTCCTTTCCCTTCATGGGAGGCACAAGCTCCTAAAAATTTTATTTCCGTGGCAAAGGAGAATAGACTTTGATACTTGATATGCCTAGGTTGGTGGGCTAGAGGCAGCCTCAGAGACTTCCTTAGAACACCCAAAAGGGGGCAGGAGCACCAAGCCTTACTCCTGCAGCTAAATCTGGCATAAATATGATACTAAGATCAGACTAACATGGAGAGGGCTTGACACTTTGAGAAAGGGACACCATCAGTAAATAAATCATTGACTGTTTGAGGACTATTTTAAGGAATATTGTGGCTGATTTGATCTTCTATCCAGACCACTAAAACTTTCTCCATATGAGCAATAAGGCTATTTCACTTTATCATTCATGTCTTCACTGGAGTAGCACTTTGAGTTTCCTTCAAGAACTTTTCCTTTGCATTCACAGCTTGGCTAACTGTTTGGTGCAAGAGGCCTAGCTTTTGGCCTATCTCGGCTTTCAACATGCCTTCCTCACTAAGCTTAAGCATTTCTAATTTTGATTCAAAGTGAGAAATGTGCAACTCTTCCTGTCACTTGAACACCTAGAGGCCATTTTAGCGTTATTAACTGGCCTAATTTCACTATTGTTGCTGTTACCTAACCAGGTTTGTTTTCTTCCATCACCTGGAAAGCCAAACACCGAGACGACAAGATTGCAGCAGACTGTGTTGAGCATCTTTTCATATGCCTGTTGGCCATCCGTATATCTTCTTTGGAGAAATCTCTGTTCAGATCGTTTGCCCATTTTTTAATTGGGTTGTTGATTTTTTTGCTGTTGAGCTGTATGAGTTCTTTGTATATTTTGGATATTAACCCCTTATCTGATAAATGGTTTGCAAATATCTTCTCGTAATTGTTAGGTTGTCTTTTTGTTTTGTTGATGGTTTCCTTTGCTGTGCAGAAGCTTTTTAGCTTGATGTAGTCCCATGTGTTCGTTTTTTCTTTTGTTTCCCTTGCCCGGTGAGACATGGGACTTGAAAATATGCTTCTAAGACTGATGTCAAAGAGGTAGCACCCCACTCCGGTCAGAATGGCTATAATTAACAAGACAGGAGACAACAAGTGTTGGAGAGGATGTGGAGAGCAGGGAACGCTTGTACACTGCTGGTGGCAGTGCAAACTGGTGCAGTCACTATGGAAAGCAGTATGGAGTATCCTCAGAAAATTAAGAATAGATCTGCCATATGATCCAGCTATCCCACTGCTGGGTATTTATCCAAAGAACTTGAAAACACAAAGGCATAAAGATACTTGCACCCCTATGTTCATTGCAGTATTGTGCACAATAGCCAAGACTTGGAAGCAACCCATGTGCCCATCAAGGGATGAATGGATAAAGAAGATGTGGTATATATACACAATGGAACACTACTCAGCCATAAGAAATGATGAAATCTGGCCATTTGTGACAACATGGATTGTCCTTGAGGGCATTATGCTGAGTGAAATGTCAGAGGGAGAAAGTCAAATACCAAATGATCTCACTCATAGGTAGAAGATAAAAACAACGACAAACTCATAGCAACAGAGATTGGATTGGTGGTTACCATAGGGGAATGGGGGGAGGGCAAAAGGGGAGATTAGGCTCACATGTGAGGGGATGGACTATAATTAGTTTTTGGGTGGTGAACATGATGTAATCTATGCAGAATCTGAAATATATTACGATGTACATCTGAAAGCTTTATATTGTTATAATCCAATGTTACTGCAATTAAAAAACTTTTAAAAAAGATTGCAGCAGAGAGAGGGTTTAATCATAAGGCAACCAAGTGAGGAAATGGGAGAATGAGGCTTAAATCTGCTTCCCCGAAAATAGGGCCGCAGGGATATTTATGGGATAGGGGGCAAAGGTGGTCTGAAATGTGGAGATAGATGATTGGAGGTGAAGAGAGGTGAGGTGAGTGATAATCTGCAAAGGTGCCCTCAGACTTCATGGTTCTTCATAGGATGCATGTTCACAAAATGGTGGCATTAGCATGATCTGAGTGTGGAGTTCTAGCCTCTGGATGTCAAAAGGTCACTTATCAGACATCTGCGCTGGCCCAGTTGATGGGTTGGTGGTCTCAACAGGCCTGAAGTGGACAACAGGTTCTAATTCCTAAAAAACAGCTCACACACCCATTACCATGGTGATCTAGGCTCCAGGGAAGTATTATCTATAGGAACTTAGTGGGAATCAGATGGCATATTGCCTAAGAGCACAGTTAACAATGGGTGGGTAGACAGCTAAAAGCTATAATGAATAATTGCAAAAAGGAAAAAAAAAATTTAGTTCCTAGCTACTTAATCATCAATGGCTAACTGTTTGCTGGTTTCATTGCGTTTCAGGGCATAGAGAGGTCCAAGGAAAGGAAGAGAGGTGGGGAAGTGGTTAGTCCCGTGAAACAGTCAGAACACACATGTTTATCAACAAAGTTCACCATCCTATGTGGGCATGGTTTGTGACCCCCTAAAAGAATTACAATAGTATCATCAAATATCACTGATCATAGATCACTGTAACAAATACAATAATGAAAAAGTTTGAGATATCGTGAGAATTACCAAAATATGACACAGGGACACATAGCGAGCAAATGCTATTGAAAAAATGGTGCTGATAGATCCCTGGACGCAGGGTTATCACAAATCTTCAATTTGTAAAAACTGCAGTGTCTGTGAAGTGCAATAAAGGGAGGCACAATAAAATGACAGAGGCCTTTAGCTGAGTATTGAACTATGGTACTGTGCATTTTGAAGACTGAGATGGCTAAAGTACCCCTGGCCATGCTGCCTGTATTGAATATATGTTCCAGCAGTCCCTGTTCACTAAGTATCTTAGTCTATTCAGGCTAGTACAACAAAATACTATAGACTGGGTGGCTTATAACCAACAGAAATGTGTTTCTTCCAGTTCTGGAGGCTGGAGGTCCAAGATGAGAGTGTCAGCATGGTTGGGTTCTGGTGAGAGCCCTCTTCCAGGTGGCAGGCAGCTGAGTTCTTGATGTATCCTCACAGGGTGGAAAGAGAACAAAAGAGCGCACTGGGGCCCTTTTTATAAGGGCACTAATCCTATTCATGAGGGCTCCATCCTCCTGACCTAATTATCTCTCAAAGGCCCTATATCCAAATACCATCACATTAGGGGTTAGGATTTCAAGCTCTGAATTTGAGGAGGACACAAACATTCAGTCCATCGCACTTAGACCCCCAGAAGTTGTCACTGACACTCTCTTCTGGCCTTCATTTATGCTTCTTACCCTTGCTCAGCACACAGAGGCATCTTTACCTTTGCTAAGGCTGCCAACACCTGCAAGTTGCCTGAGGTCCTCATCTTTGCTTAAAGCCCAATGTCTACCTCTAGAGCATTGGCTCCCAACCTTGCTTGCACATTGGAATCACCAGGTAAGCTTTAGGACACTGTTGACGCCTGTATCCCATCCTCAACAATTCTGACGTAAGTGGTTTGGGATGCTAGCTCAGGGCCAGTCTCCCTCAGCCAAAAGAGGAGGATTGGGAGTAGATTAGCTCAGGGCTAATCTTCCTAAAAAAAAATAAAATAAAATAAAATAAGGACTTGACTTTACCTCTGTCCTGGCCATGCCTGCTTGGTAAGTTGGCCTAACCCTACAGTTATTAAGTCTGTACGTTAGCTTCTTATGTTAAAGACCAAATAAAAAGTCAGTTTTAATTGGGGGATTGACTGATGCACATGAGAGAAAATCGTATTGGGACACCAGAGTAGCAGTCCAAGAAAAGGAGTTGGTTGGGTGATCGTACTGCATTACCAATCAAATTAGTAATCTTTGACAGCTTGATGGATCCTTTTCCACATGAATCCTATAAACGTCAAGTTAACTAGAGTACTTGGTTAACCTGAAATGGTCTGCTTACTTCCTATTCGCTCCTTTAAGGAATGAAATTATTTCTTTTATCTCTACTTCCAGCACCCAGACCAGATTATGGACACAATAAATATCAGTTGAATTAATTGCAATGCAATATGATAAATGCTGCTACTGAGTTACAGAAAGAAGGACACATCTATGGTCTCATATGCTTTGGAACGGTCTAAGAAACAGAAATGGTGAAAGAGCCTCCTCAAGAACAGGTACTATCGTATGTAAATGAATGAGGACCAAAAGAGTATGTTTGCACAGCTAGGAGACATCAAATAGTTAATAGACCAGAGATGAGTGCCTGTATGAGGGTGTGCTGTGAGGTATGGCTAAAGCCATTTATGAAATGTATGGTAACCGTTCTAAAAGATTTGAAGACGTAAGTGTTCCTCAAGCAAGTGTTATACACACAGCTATGCAATTCTCACAAGGGAAAAAAGTATTTATTTTTATTGCCCTGGTGGGCTTTTAAAACTATGTAACAATAAATTATATTGCCTAAGCTGGGTCCTGCTCTGACTGACAGCTCCATGTAAAGCCAGGGATCTGCAAACCTTTCCTTGATCTTTGATCTGTTTGCCTGGAAGCAACCTGGGTTTGAAAAAACTCCCTTCCTGTTAGAGGCTTTAGGTCATTCTTTTGCTCTCTTAAGCAAAATAATAATAACAACAATAACAATAATTCTTATGGTAATATCTAAGAACTGGCTAGACAAACTAATCTAAGCAGAGGGCCCCGGCAGTTTGAGCGCAAACCTAGCTCTGCCTTTAATTTTCTGAATTACTTTACCTCTTTGTATCAATCCCTTCATCTGTAAAATGGGCTTGTCATAGCAGTTATCTCATAGACTTGTGAAGAATACGTGAGTTAATCTGTGTTAACTGCTTGGACTGGAGACCAGCAAAGAAGAAACGTTACCTAAACGGGGTCTATTATTAGTGGCAGTGGCATTTTCTAAGGACTCACTACTTGTATCAAACTTATTTTTCTAATATTTACTTACATTTCCAGTAAAATGGACTTTGTATATGTTAATATTTATGTCCTTAATTTAGGATCTAACAATCTCCAGATTTTGTTACAGATTTAAATCACAGTTTTGTACTCTATCAGCAGTATTTTTATTTGATATTTTTATTTGATATTTGATGATAGGAGCCCAGTTAGTCCAAGTCTGGAAAAGGGAAAGTTGTTCGCCCAGAAAAAATAATACTTTCCTACACTTAGAAACGGTTTACATTTAGGAAATTTTCAGTCTGCAGCGATCTGAGTCAGATGTTATGTGTTCAGAGCATGATAAGGACTGGATTTGTTTTACAATCTCTCTTGGCCTGCCATGTAGAAACCTCACGATATCAGATGCATACCTTTAGCCGAGAATTGGAATACAAGCATTCTTTCAAAAAATAATAGTAAATTTTTTCAGCTTCACTTATAGATATCTTGTGCCTGGTGCTAGAAAGTTTAAAAAGAGTATTTATGTCAAATGACATTTTGGATAATTTTTGTAAAAGAGTGATGTGATTCTTAAATATTTTTTCCTTTGTTGCCATCTTACTCAGCATAAAAGTATCTTATATATATAAAATGGACATGATTAATTATATATATAGATATATAGATATAGACATAGACAAAGATATAGATACAGATTTATATAGCCATTTATGAAACATTAGTCTTTTACCTTTCTTATGTTACTTCTAGAATCTTTCTCAAAGAAAAGGAACATATATCCTTATGGCTAAAACTCATTGATTGAAATCAGTTTATTAATTGATTAAAATTAAAGTAATAACATAAATCATTTTTCTATTTAACCTCTATTTTTCAACATCAGCAGTGTTAATGAGTATCCTTTTGGTCTAAGAATTGTGTTTTTTTATTCAGATGCAGCTTTGTTTGGAGTTCAAAAGACATATCTGGGGAGCTAGCATGGTGCTCTAGTGGTTAAATTCACCTGCTCTGCTTTGGCAGCCCTAGATTCATGGGTTCAGATCCTGGGCGCAGACCTAGCACTACTTGTCAAGCCACGCTGTGGCAGAATCCCATGTAAAATAGAGGAAGGTTGGCACAGATGTTAGCTCAGCAACATTCTTACTCAAGCAAAAAGAGGAAGATTGGGGGGTCTGCCTGGTGGTGCAGCAGTTAAGTGCACATGTTCCGCTTTGGCAGCCCAGGGTTCACGGGTTCGAATCCCAGGTACGGACGCACCACTGCTTGACAAGACATGCTGTGGTAGGCATCCCACATATAAAATAGAGGAAGATGGACACGGATGTTAGCTCAGGACCAGTCTTCCTCAGCAAAAGGAGGAGAATTGGCAGGTGCTAGCTCAGGGCTAGTCTTCTTCTTCTTCAAAAAAGAGGAAGATTGGCAACAGATGTTAGCTTAGGGACAATCTTCCTCACACACAAAAAGTCTAAACATCATAGATTATTCAAATATTAAGTTGTATTTTAATATCCATTGTTTGTATCTCTGAATTTGGAAGGGACCTAGAGGATTATATGACATTGTTTAAATTACTCTTGGGAGTAGTCTATGTAAATTAAGTACTGTAAACATATTAAATTATCATTACTCTCTGGTTTGTCTTATAACATTTTTGTGCTAGTACCATATGTCAGAATAAGTATACTCTTCAAAGAGGATTGCACATGGAACTGCTTTTCTCATAAACATATTTTGTCTTTTGAGAAGAGAAATTTATTGATTGACCCAAGGCCAAAATAAAATTCTTAGGAGTATTTGTATTTTCATTAACGTCATTTTGGGCCAATGCAGCTTTCACAAAATTCTAGAGAGTGAATAGCAATTCTAGAGGGTAAAAGCAAGAGGTATCTGGTTTTAGAGGAAAAGCAGGAGTAGAAACAAACGGGATTACTTTAAAGTTATTGCTCACAATTCAAAACATAGTAACTAACTCCCTTTTCAGTCTTTGGAAAGTCCAATTACACTGTACCTTTTTTATTCTTATTCTTCTAGACATATTCCTCAGTGGGGAGCTCACGGACATTCTTCTTCTTAACCTCATTAGTACCCTTTCATGTACAATTTGCTGACTAACGTGATCTTAAGTGGAAAAGCTGTTGCGAACAGGTGACTTTCCCTCTGCACTCACAGAAATATTTCCAAGAGAACCTCTGGTGAACACATCTACATTTCAGGCACTTGCTTGCCCAATGCCATCTGTTCCGACATAGAAAATTCTCTAGGAACCCGAAGAACGATGTAATGAGGGAATCTAACTCTTATCTGTCATAAACTTTTAAGATATTTTTGTTCATCTGGCTTTAAAAAGAAATTGAAGATTCTTATAAAGAGACAATGTCTTTTGACATTATGAACTTACAAAAAAATAATCAGCTTAATTTAATATTCCTTTAAGAAATATAAACATATTGTAAACTAAAACATCAACATCTAGTGTTGTAAAGGTAAGAACATTCTTTGTTATTAATTTGATTCTTATTATAATCATATATAATTTAAATGGTGATTTTTAAAGTAATCACTTGTGAGAAAAACTAAGACCAGACAGTTCAAGGAAACAGACGTAGCTGCTCTACTTTAAACACATTCATCTTATGATGTTTTTTGAAAGACGTTATACAAATCAACACTTCAAAAGAAACTAACGATTTAATTTGATCAAAACATAATTATTTTATTCTTTACACCATCCTCAATTGTTGAAGTTAATATTATCTCAAACCTATAGTATGTAATGGCATAAATATGCCATTGATGGAGGTAAAAACAAAAAATAGCAAAAGTGCTTCCACTGTGGTAAGCAAAGTCTAGGATGGCTCCCAAGATTTCTGCCCCCTGGTGTAAATGAATAAGATGGGCTATCACTCATTTGATTAGATTCTAATCAGTCACCTTTGAATTAATCAAAAAGATCATCTGAGGGTTCCTGATCTAATCAGGTGTACCTTTTTAAAAGAAGGTCTGGAGATGTCAGAGGGTGGAAGTGTGAGGCGGCCTGTGGAGGGGGCCGCATGACAAGGAGTCGTGGGGAGCATCGTATGGGTTAAGAGCAGTCTCTGGATGATAGTCAAAAAAAGAACAGGGCCTCATTTCTACTGCAGCAAGTAGCTGAATTCTGCCAACAACTACATGAGCTTGCCCTGGGCTTGAAAATGGGCAAGGCAGCTGCTACCTTGATTTCAAGTTTGTAAGTCCTGATGCAAAGAACTCAGTTCAGCTGCGCCTGGGCTTCTTCCCTACAGAAACCATGAGATAAGAAATAGGTGTTGCTTCAAGCTGCTAAATTGGTGGTAAGTTGTCATGCAGCAATAGAAAATTAATAGTACATGGGGGCTAGGGATGAGGGTTTGATGAGAGGAGAGGTAAGGAGGCTCATTGTCGTTAAAATCCCTAACCCATTTCAGAAATTGGTTTGAGGAGGTAAGCACACCCAACATACAGCTCATTGAAATGTTCTTCATTTTAATCCTCTATTATTAATTATTTTAACACAGAAGCTATGAAAATTCTTCAAGAATTGTTCAAAAATATTTGAAATTTATCCATTGATTGTTCATCTGTGTGTTAGACGTTATTGGATTTATAGGAATTAATGTGTAATTACTGTGAGGTATCAATACAACTTCAAATAAATAAAAATAACTACAAAAATGGGAATTATTTGAAAACGCTCATTAAAATTGTTACTAGAGTTATAGTAATATATTTGAGAATGATCCTCTGATTTAGGATAAATTATAAATGAGGACATCTGTAAAGTGTGAGACATGTGGATAGACAATTTGTCTGGTATGAGAAGAATTTCCCCCAATTATTTGTTTCTTTATAGATAGTCATACAGTCATAGATTTAAATATAAATATTGTTTATTAATATATATATTATTTAGTATTATCTGTCTGTCTCTAATTTGAGAGAGAACACTTAGTAACTGCATAGTTTTGACAGACAGTAGTAACTCAGCAAATATTGCTCCCCTTTTTTCATATACTATATAGATTTGGAAGATCATGTATTGTGCTTTAATCAGTCCACCCTTATACTTAATCTTTCATCCTTACAGATATTTCTAACCAAGTTTAGTGGCTTTGTATTTTCTTAAGGGAGACACCAAGCTCTGTAATTTTGGCCTTCTACTTTCTCCCATATTCTTTATTTTTCAAATCATTATGAAACTCTAAAGCACTTTTTTTTGTGCTCAACTTTGTTCATTTCATTTATAGTTTGTTTCTAACAACTACACTGATTTTTCCTTGCAGCACAGAAGAACTAGGCCCTGGATAACTTAGCAAAAATTAAGATGGCAGGTGGTTATGAGAAATATTTATACTCTGCTTTTCTACTTGGACGTTCCAAGCCTATGAATAGTCATGGATTTATTTATTATTTTTTTCAGGAAGGGTCCTAGCATTTCCCAAAATATTGAGGCAATAAGATTTTTGTTTTTCATGTAACACAATTGACAGTCTGGATATAAGGTCCATTGGGATAAACATTGTAAAAGGCTGACTCAGACTTAGGAGCCACATTCTTCCCACTTTTGTGTAGCTTTTCAATGTGCTTAAGATGAGTGATCTTTGCTCCTTTTAAACCTGTCTGACCATCCCTTGTCTTCAGAGGTCCTCTCTAGTGAGTAACTTTCCTAAGCCTCTGACAAGTCGGCAGATTTATATAGGAATAGCAGCTTGATACAAAAAGATTTTCTGGATTACATACTTATCTTAAAAATATAATTTATTTCTCTTCCTTGTTTTAGGACTTCATTACTTCCTCCTTCTAAAGGACCTCCTAACCGTTCTCCATGACTCCCTAACTCTCCGTAACTCAAAACCTTTGTACAACTGCATGTACAACTTTCATGACTTCTGTACAGCTTTCTTCCTACAACGCAGATCATATGTTTTAATGGAAATTGGGTTATGTCACATTCTTTCCTCTTGTACTGGAAGCCTCCATATTTATTTTTTTTTGTTGTTAGATTTTAAAAATTATATAATGATGTTCATATATACTTTTAGTAGTTTTTTCTAAAAGATTTTATTCTTTTTCTTTTCCTCCCCAAAGCCCCCCAGCACATAGTTGCATATTCTTCATTGTGGGTCCTTCTAGTTGTGGCATGTGAGAGGCTGCCTCAGTGTGGTTTGATGAGCAGTGCCATGTCCACGCCCAGGATTTGAACCAACGAAACACTGGGCCGCCTGCAGCGGAGCACTCCAACTTAACCACTCGGCCACGGGGCCAGCCCCTATACTTAGTAGTTTTAATTGAACTTCTATGAACACTCTCTCTCATTCTTTAATCACTTCTGAAAGTTGCGCCCACGTTTTGTGTTTTTTGTTTTGTAAGATAGCACTTCATTGAATTTGGTCTTCCTTTATTTGGATATCACTTTCCCTTATTTAGTTTTGAGTTCACAATGCTCTAATATCCAGGTCTATCGAATGCTCTTGTCTTTACACGTATTTTCATCTATGTGTTGCATGTGTGTTTCTTTTATTTTCATTATTTTGTTTTCATTATTGAGTTTTCAGCATAATTAGTCCTATCTATTTTAGTAGTAAGAATAGGATACAATGGCTTGATTGAACTGATACACTTATGTGTATTCCAATAGAACAGTATTCTAGATTCAAACTGTCCAGATCACTTATGTTTGGATGAAATTTGGTGACTTTTTTAACCTCCTGTGTCTCTGTGTCCTCATCTATCTAGTTAGGATAAATGTAGTGCTTACCGAACAGATTGGTGCAAAGATGAAATGAGTGCATGTCTTTAAAAGAACCTAGAATTGTTCTTAGAGTGTAGTAAATATGAATATTCTTTGTTATAGTAAATTTAAATATAATTAAATATAAGTTACAATAATTATTATTTAGTTACATTTGTCATACTCATTCTCCATTTGACTCTAATTATCTTTTAGAGTAAAATAGTTATATTTTTCATATTTTGTATAGTAATTAATTAAATAAATCTAAGATGATTATATAGCTTTAAAAATATTTTGATGGTTTATATTTTGCTATCTTGTTCTTGACCCTGCTGATTAAAGCATTATCTTTTCAAATATTCTACTATTGACTACTTATTGTTAGAGGATATTAGCATATCTAAGTTTGGGAAATATAGCTGGCAATATTTGGGGGAATTAACTAGAAGGGAAAAACACAGAATCAGAGGTGTGAGAAAGGATGCAGAAAGATATAATCCACTGTAAAGATGAGGCAAACTAACAAGAGAGAGACACGGGAAGTAGAAATTGGAGAGAACATTTTAGAAAGATATTTCAACAATTGATTATAACCCTTCTTTATAAACAAAATAACTCATTTATTTTATCTGTTCTACTAGCTTACCTTTATTGAATCCTTAGTTTCTTATAAATAAACGTTCAAGAAATTTAGCTTTAACTGTTCATTGAAATTATCTTTGAAATATGAGAAGTTCTAAGTCTAAGAAAGAAAGATGGTTTTATTAAAAATAAGTAAAAATCATAGTCATATTGTTTTAATCAGATTATGAGAAAATACATTTTGTATTTTGTTTCTATCTTAAATAATTTAATATAAAAGATTTTTCTATTCTAAAATTTAATAGACCCTTCTTCAAATATATTGAATTATATTCTTCATAATGATTGATGCTTCACAATGATTGATGAATGATTTTTTTTTTACCAAGTTCTTTAATAATTTGATGCTATCTATTAGAAGACTCTTATTCAGATGTAGTCAAGCTAGGGTAATCCAGTAACAGTGTTACAATTAGAAAATACTAGAAAAATATTTTGATTGCTACCAAGCTGGGTACTAAATGGATCTGAATTTTGGCTCAATTAGTTGGAGTAAGAATTTTGTATTTGTATTTGAGTACTAAAAGCTTCAATGTGAACTAGAAAATTTAAATGGATATTGTTTCTACTGGTTAACAAATTAATACATTATTAAATTAACATTTTAATGAAGTCAAAAATTTGAACATTCAACATAGATCAAGCTCGTCTTTTAAAATACATTACTGACGTTTTACTAGGTACTATCAGAGAATTCCCATCTATTAGCAAGAACAAAGAACATAAAAAGTAAATGTTTTCCAGTGAAAGTTTTGTTTTGCAGATTAGGTCATCAAAAATGCATTCAAAAAATTACAAATATTACTACATACAGGAATTATAAGTCAATCTTTACCGATTTGAAAAATTTCAGCTCAGAATAGAAACTTTTCCTCTAGGAACGCAATAACATCGTAAATCTGAAATTGTAGGCTACTGATGTTTGAGAATCTCTGTAAAGGAAAAAAGAAAGAAGGGCCTAGAAAAATGCTTATTATGCAATTATCTCTTCCAGCCACCTGAATTTTATTTTGCTCAAACTGCTTTAAAAACTAAACCATCATTACAGGAGATCAAGCAAACTATAGATAATACTACTACCA